CGGCCGGGGAGCGGGCCCGCGCGGCCCTGGCCGCCTCGGCGGAGGACGCAGTGGGGCGGCGGGCGCGAGCCCCGGAGCGCGGAGACCCGGCGGGCCTGGGAGGGTCGTTCTCAAGCTGCTGGGTCCCCGCCGCGTTTACCTGAGCGCTGGCTCCGGGAAGGTCGGGGGTGGGACGGGACGGCGGCCGGGCGCGGAAATCCCACGCGGGGGTCGCAGGGAGCAGGCTGGTCCGGGCGAGTCCGCTCTCAGGTGCCTCCTCGCGGCGGCCCCGGGAGCTCCGACGCGGGCCGCGCGGGGGTGGGGAGCGGGCGGGGTCACTAACGGGCCCCGGAGCGCGGCTCGCGGGCCTCGGCCAAGTCCGGGGCCCTCAGGATCGAGCCACACCCGGCGCGGAGCCCTTTCTGCTCTGCTTTACTGTGCTTCCTAGTAGTTAGAATAAAGATTTACGGTCACCATAGAGGCCCCGTACGCGCGCCTTTTACCCGTCTTGCGTCAGTGCGCTTTTATTTGATTCCATTTTGGGGGTGTGTTTTAAACCCCAAGAAGTCACAGCTTCTTTCAGAAAGCCTAGTGGCCATCCTGGTCGTTGGACACCGTCACAGCCTGTGCTGGTCGTTTTCTCCATTTTCTTTTTGGACCGTCGCATCTCCTGAAACAACTTTGAGGAATAGAATTTAAAGAAGACCTTCACGTTTTAATAAATTAGAGTTCTAAATACAGTTAATAATTTAGTGTTCCTTTTGTTAGCTAAATTATTTACGGAACAGCTATGCACTCCTTCCCTTGAGCTCCTTCATTCTGGCTAATTATGGTAACAGACAAAATGAGGTAGTAATAAATAACCCCTAGTATAATTTGCATTTAAAAAATTTAATTGTAAGAATTAAAATGTTGTTAAATGTTTTTAAAATTATGGTAAAATATCAATAGTTTTTATACTGGCTTAAAGCTGAATAATGGGCCTGAAGCTAAAGTTGAACAGTAGCAGCGCAGTATTCAGACTAGGTATTTGCTCTGTATACTTTCAGGTTACTGACGGTTTGTGTATATATACATATACTTGCTTTAATTTTCACAGTCACCATTTCTGGATAGTCTGGGGAATTTCAGAATCCTGTCTTTGAAGATAGCTAACGAGATATTATTGTATAAAACTGTAGCTTTTTTTTATTTTGGCGTGTTTAAGTAATCTTTAATTGAGAATAATCTTTAAAAGATCACTCAAGTCTTTTAACACAAATAATGAGTCTTGGTTTATTTATTTGTTCTTTGTATTTATTACCCTAGCATGCTTGCCATTGAATTAAAGTTTTTTTTTTCTTTTTGTTTGTTTAGCTTCCTGGGAGTTACTGATTGTCTTTGAAGAAACATGAAGTCACACTGTGTTGTTATGCTTACTCTACCCCTCCTGGTGTTCCTGACCTGGGTCCCTGTGTCGCTGAGTTGTAATAAGGCACTCTGTGCCAGTGATGTGAGCAAATGCCTCATTCAGGTAGGACTGAGTCCTCTTTCACTCATATTAAAGTGTACTGTAGAGCAAGTACGGAGCACGGACATGCAGATAGTGTCTGTATAACTCAGTGTGAAGCCCGAGTATTAGGTCAGGGCCTGAGGTACTGAACAGGGACCCACTGGTCTGGGTTTTTGCCTCTATAATTCTCTTGCATACAAGCGAGGTCAGACTCAAGAAGTTCTGTACCGAAAATAATATCCAGCTTTATAAACATACCATTATAAGGTGATGAGCACTCCTTTCAGATGAAATTAAAGCACTCCTTGTTTAATGTAGTTCACATAGCAAAGAGGCTCATGTGCTATATTTAGAAAAAAATTTTTAGCTAATCAAATCATAGACAAACTGCCCTAAATGTAATGTCCTAGTGGTCTGTTCTGTGTAACCAGTTTCCTCAGCAGCTTAATGCAGTAAACACTTAATTCCCGCGGTTTCCGAGGGTGAGCATCTGGGAGCAGCTGAGCCGGGTGGTTCTGGGTCATGGCTTCTCAAGGTTGCAGGCACTGAGAGTCTGCTTCCTCAGGATAGCTGGCAGTGATCTCTCTGTCGGTCGTCAAGGCCAGCCTACTGATGTAGCTACCACTCTCATTTCATTGAAGAGAAAAGTGACGTTAAGTAATTTGTCCAGGTTCGTATAGCTAGTAAGTGGCTATGGAATGTGGTCTGTGTTTGACTCCGAAGCCCATGGCTTTTCCAGCATGCAGACGGTTATTACTCTCCATAAAGTTGCGTTAATTAGTGGTGAACTTCACATCTCTTTTCCACCCTGTTAGACCGTCAGCAGGCGTATGTCTTTTGTGTCGGTGTTCATTAGCTTCCCTTCTAGCTCTTGGCTGCTGGCTAAGGAATTCAGTAACTAAACATTAGAATTCTTCATGGAGTGTGACTCAGCCACCTCTTGGCTGTAATCCTGACATGAAAGTCATTGTGTTGAGGTGATAATGATTTTTATAGATGAGAGGCATTTTATGTTATTAATAGTTAGAATTATAGAAAGCCTGGCCTTTGTGTAAGTGTGGACGCTGCCCTGTCATACTGTTTACCTTCACTTTGCCCAAATATTTGCTTCTCTGAATCCAAAACGTTTAACTAGTGGAGTTTGTTGGTTGGTTTTAATTTTTTTTCCTATAGATACTTTTAAGCATGAAAAGAGAAGAGTGTAAGAAGAGCAGTTGCAGTCAGCAGTGCCAGCAGTTACTAACTCAGGGCTGCCCTGGTTTCATCTGTATCCCCTGCACTGTCCACCCCAGCTCTGTTTAGTTTCAAGCAAATCCCTGATACTTTGTTAATCATAATTCTAATGTCTGTCTCTTAAAGATAAAACATAGCTTTTAGCAGTTTTAAAATCAGCAATAATCCGTTAATGTCATCTGATTTGCTACATGGAAGCTTTGGTACCACAAAAGCACCCTTGCTTCAGCATGTGCTGTTGGGACTCTGTAGAATTCCCATGAAGTCCAGCTGTGCCCTGTGGTCGGAGGGGAACCTGGGCCACTTCCCATGTTGTTTCAATGTAGCTTCATTATTCATTTTTAGAAATACAGTGTCATAATAATTGCTGCATTCATGTTTAGGTAGAAATTCACTTATATCTCAAATTATTTTTTGACTCTCCAAGTCTATAATTTCCATTATTTCAAATAATTAAAAATTGGATTTTATTTAAAATACCTTGCTTGGTAAGGAGATATTAAAAACAAAAATTTTGGTTACTATTGCTAAGGTTTTTGTTTTGCTTTTTAATGAAAAACTCTGTAATGCTTTAAAAAAATGCTTCAAAAGGAAGAGTAAAAACCTAAGTATAAAAACTGGAAAAAAAGGTGAAGCTTCACCTGTTAAATGGTGGTTCTACTAAGCTCATTGGAAAGAGTTTGTTTTTTTTTTACCATGAACTCACTGGTACTGCCATTTCAGACTTCAGCATCATCAAATCTTTTTCTGGAATAGTAGAGACAGTGCTTCTGGTGCTTAGTGGCAGGGTATTTGAGGTTAAAAATATTGAGGCCTCGAGTATTGAGGATTTTTCTTGTTCATTTATGGGTAAGTGCTTATTGGATGTTGCAGCAACTTGTGATTGGTTCTACCATTTGCCTAGTTTTGTGAACAGCAGCCGGTCATTTATTTCACACTCTGACCTTGGCTCTGCTTGTATGCCTCTCACCGTGGCTGTGTGACAAACCACCTCGAAGGTCAGTGGCTGGAAACGACACCGCGCTTATTCTGAACGTGAATATGCATCCTGAGTGGCACTCGGGGACAGCGCACCTTCACCACACAGCATTACCGTTAGCAGCGTAGCCTGAAGGCTGGTGCCCAAAATTACCTGACGCAGCGCTGTCCGCTAGAACTTTCTGCAGTGATAGAAGTGGTCTACATCTGACCTGTCTGGTGCAGTAGTCTACTGAGCATTTGAGCTGTGGCTAGTAGGTCGAGAAACAGATTTTAAAATTCAGTGATTTTAATTCATTTAAACAGCTGCGTGTGACTAGTGGCTACTGTATTGAACAGTCACAAAGCTGAAGGCTCACTCATCTAACATCTGGGCGGGGAAGATCCTTCATCTCTCGCCTCCCTCCTTCTCAGGGCTCTCTGTGCCTGACCTCTCAGCACGCTGGCTGAAGTCTAGCCAGATTTCTTACCTGTTGGCTCAGGGGCTTGCAGGACCACATGCCTCATGAAACAGAGCTGGGGAAGCTGTTTTGCCTTTCATGGCCTCTCCCTCGAGGTTACAGTGCTGCTTCCACTGTAGTTGCAGGGCCGCCTGGATTTAGGTGGAGGGAACACCGACCGCACCCTGACGTAGGAGCGTGAGTGTCACACAGTGAGGGGAGCGTGGGGGTGATGGCGTGGCCGTCTTTGGAAATACAGCCTGCCACAGCTTCACTGTACAGTGACTTAGTCTGCTGGGGGATCTCCAGGTCTCCCTCTAATTCAAAGTAATTCTGAAGAAAGAAACCAGCTATTAGGTGTTAAGTATTTTTACAGTCACGGTAATAAAGCCCTCTTTTTAAAAAGTCAGATTGTTGGGATAATCCCTTGGCTAATCCTTCCTCCTCATTTTGTTGCCCAGGGAGGAGCACTTTTAATCTAGTAACTGCTTCTGTTTTTGCTTCAGTTAGTGATTTTCAAGCCATGTTGCTAAATAATACACTACTGCTTCTTCAATTATGACTTCTAGATATTATGTGTCTAAAACTGCCTCTCTGCTCTGTTAGATTAGGAAACTCGCTCAGCATCCTGTCCTCCCCTACCCCTGCCCTGTCATAATCCTTTCACGGTTTTGGTTTCTCTGTCAGTCATCTTCTCAATTTCTGCATTATAGTTAAGCCTTTCTGTTCTGTCCTATGAACTAGAAATACTATCTCTTGATTGCTGATATAAGAGGAGAATATTAGTAGCCCTACTCTTTCCCTTTAAAATTTTATTTGCTTTGTAATTTTTTAAGTAGTAAAGAGAGTATAATTAAGTTTAAAGAAGAGCTGTGCGTTTCTTTCGGGATCTGGAAAAGGGAGGGCCCATTGAGACTCAGAACAGTCTTGGAGATCATGTGCCTCTGCCACCGATGGCCATACTTCATGGCATGGAGAGCAGAGCAGTGAGTTTCCTTGTACTTGTGAATGCGCCCTCAGAATTTCCCGCCTTCGGAATGCCTTCTGATGGGCTGTATCAGAGTCTGTGGGGATGGGCGTAACCTCTGCTTGTACGCCGTCGAGCTTGACAGCATGTGTGTTCTGAGTGGTGTCGCAGGGTGATGCTCAAGAGCGTGAACTTTGGAACCAGACTGTCTGAATTTGAGTCTACTTCTGCCGTGGACTTGACCTTGGACCGGTTAATCTTTCAGTCCCTCAGTTTCCTTACGTATGAAACGAATAATAACCATGCCTGCTGTGTGTGGTTACCGTGAGGGTTAGGTATGAAGCACTTAGATCAGCTCCTAGCGCATGTGTGCTCTGTCAGCAAGTAACACTAACCTAATTTCTCTGTTGTATAACCGTATTTGAATTTTCCATGTTTTACTTACAGGTATATTCTAAACCACATTTCTGTTGCAATGCTTATGTAAATATTGTTGACTGAATAGTGACATAGGGTACTATGATTACATTTCCTGTCTTGAACAACTTCGTTTTTCTTGAGTTTCTGATTGTCTTTCCTGATCTTGCAGCATCAGTCATTAGCACTTTATGTTGTCTTAAATTCTTAATCTGTTTTCCCCTCAGTAGAGCCTTCAGTCTTGTTTCCAGACCTAACTGACTACTCGCTGGGTCTGAAGCACGCTGTTACATAGGCATTTTCCCAGGGTGACTTTCTTCAGTTGGTTCCATTATTTCTTTGATTCCATATCTTGGTCTTTCTTAATTTACTCTCATTTTGTTGTAACATGCCCTGAAGTTTCTTCCCAAAAAGGCTGTGTTGGAAATAAACTCTCTGTATCCTGCATATCTTAAAAATGTATTTATTCGCATCTTACACCTGATTTGGTGGTTTACCTGAGCACAGAATTCTATGTTAAATTCTTTTCACTGGCAACTTGGCAGACGTTTCACAAATGTCTTTGTGCTACTGGATTCCATGATGCTGGTGAGACGTCTCGTGCCTGTGCGTTTCTCGTTGTCTGTAGGTGATGTTGTTAGTTTCTTTCTTCTCTCTGGAAACTGTTGGTTTCATCTCCTTATCCTTGGTGTGGGTCTTTTTGTACAGGCATTGTGATGGGCACCTTGTGAATCTTTTGGGGCAAAAGGGGGTTTATTTTGAGCTCCAGAATGGAGTATTTCCTTGTATGATTATTTTTATATATAATATCCTCCTCTTTTTTCTGGAACTATAATTAGTAGCCATTCTTATATCATCTTTGGAGAACTGTCTATTCAGAACCAATGCCCATTTTTTAAGTTGGCTTATTTGTCTCTTTATTGTTGGGTTATGAGAGTTCTTTATATATTCTGGATACAAGACCCTTGTCAGGTACATGACACCCA